TTCACGAGTCACAGGAAGTCGGAAGTGATGTCATAGTCGGAAGTGATGTCATGCTGGACAAGAATTCGCGACTTTACATATACGTCAGTATTTCCTCGGTTGTTTCCCTTCAATTGCTGCACGACGTCCTGCTCTGCCTCACTGTGGAGTTATACAATGATGGGCAATGATACTGGGCAACCCTGTGTCCGGTCAAATATATAACCCACATGAACCCTGCTTGGGGGGCTCTCGTCGCCTGGAGTTTTAGGTGTTCGCCTCTCATTCAAAGATCCCGGGCTCGAATCAGGGTAGTGTCCGAAAAGTTTTCTCTATTATTTTTGTCCACTTTCACCTCCGTTCTTGCTCTCTAGCAAAGTTCTGTCGTCTGCTTCCGTCTCCACTTTCTGCCCCCACCCCCTCACCTTCTTTGCCCCCTCCTCTGGGCTTCTGACTCCTGTAGTCTTTTTACTGCTACTCCTTGGCTACTTCTTACTATTGTCTTTCAGCCGCACCCCCTGATCTTCTGATAAGAAAGATCTACACCTAACCTTCTCGGACAAGGGCGAAAAACCTCGGTTGCGCACGTTAAAGATCCCTTGGTGGACAAAAATCCATAAAATAGGTTTCTGCCGCCAACCGAGAAAAATTCAAAATTTCCTAATTGACCATTTTTTAATGTTCCCCGCGCGCTCATATGACCGTAGGCACTTGCGAGCGACGTAAACACTTACAAAACAAACGAACCCCGCTTGCAGTTTAGCGAACGTTCAGTCAGTTATCAGTTAAGGACTGGTGAGGCACCTGAGGTCTATTTTGGCTATTACAAGGCCTAGAGTGCCGATATTTGCTGTGGGACATCGTGTGTTATTGGGGATTTTAAATCAATAGTTCAAAATGTATATTGTGATTCGGTTTGCAATGGAAACGGCGGCCATATTTGATTTTGTATACCTTTTTCAATCCCATTTTATTTCCTTATTTATTAACCGATTCACTTCTAATTTGGCATGCCAAGAGTACATATGTAGCTCTTAGATTTGGCTTGTTCAATTTTAGATATATGCTTTAGTTTTTATTTTATGACATTTACAATTGAGATGTTGCAAAAAAAGTGAAAAAAAGGAAAATTCATGCTTTCTAAGCCCATACATCAAAAACTGCTATATTAATCAAAAATTCAACAAGCAAAAATTTAGAACTAGGTGTTGTTGGTATCCTGTGAAAGTTACATTAAGACTGAATAAGAAACAGAGCAGAAAAATGGGATAATATGTGAAAAAAAAAGAATTGTGAGAAAACCAGCCGATACAGGTAAGAAAAGGCTAGACAACATGTGCTTTCGCCGAAAAAACTGACAAAAAAACACAGCTTTAGGGTGTAGCAAGGCTTACATACGTTTCTGGATATTGTTCAGGAAATGTCCAGGTACTATATGTAATAAACCCAATTTACAAAATTTGACCCCCAAACACGATTTCTAGGTGCCCCACCAGCCCTTAACGGAGCGGATGGTCCTTGTTCAAATCCACATAGGGGCATTCTAACCTTTGATTGTTCTGGGGAGTGCCTCCATCTATCTGGTGAGGTCCTATCGGAGATTTACGGTGGATCTTGTATTCGGAGGTCACGCCTCTTGAACAGCCCTACAGCACTTTCTCACAACTTTTTCGCTGTTAAAAAACTTTCGGTGGGGTGGTTGGTCTGTGTGTTGGTGTGGTTTGCTCCTTCCTTACCAAACATCCATCCTCCTCTTCCCTCCGTTCTTATATTATAATGTGACTCTAATCTCGAAAATCTCTAATCTTCGGAATGGGGGCTCTCGTAGCCTAGAGGTTAAGATTTTCGCATCCCGTTCAAAGGTCCCAGGTCCGGGTAGCGACCGAAAATTTTATTCTCAAAAAAATTGTCTACTTTCACCTCTTTCCTGCTCTCTAGCAATGTTCTGTCGTCTGCTGTCGTCTCCATGACTTTCTGCCCCCACCCCCCTCACCTCCTTTGCTCCCTCCTCTGGGCTCCTGACTCTTTCTGCAGCCTTTCTACTGCTACTCCTTGGCTCCTTCTTACTGCTGTCTTTCAGCCACACCCTAATCTTCTGATAAGAAAGATCTTAACCTAGCCTTCTCGGGCAAGGGCAAAACATCTCGGAGGTCTCGTGTGCAAGCTGCGCACGTTAAAGATCCCTTGGTGGTCTAAAATTGAAAAGAGTAGGCTTCGCCGCCACCCTGTCAAAATGTCCTACAAACTGAAAAATCCGTTTAGTGTGTCCCGCACGCTCATATGACCTTATGCATTTGCGAGCGCCGTAAAGCACTTACCAAAAATAACACACAAAAAACCCCAACACACTTTGGTCCCAATATGACCTGACTTTGAAGCAAGTGCTGTAAAACTCTTTCTAAAACAAAGTAACACTTTTGTATAGATCTGTGGTTTCTTTCCTCAGCACGTGTTCTCGGACAAGCCCTGGGGGACCAGTCAGTTCAACGGCCTGCTCCAGTCCTCTGACGTCATCACCAGCCACCTGTCCTGTGTGCGGGAACTGACAGGCGCCGAGCTGCCAGACGTCTACCACAAACCTCTGGGTGGCAGCGTCCTGGTGGATCTACGTCACGTGACCGGGTGTGAGGCCCGGGACTTTGATGACCCGCCCTACCCCATCGCCAACAACACCGTGGCTCTGGCCAGGTGAGTCACTGGTGACCTTGACTCATTCAAAGGTCTCCTTTAGACGTACAGTCCATTCATCGACAAACTGACAGTTTAACCGACAGACGCTAGATCTGGGTCATCGTTGAACTGACAGTTTGTAGTCGAGGGAAGTTCCGTTTACATGTACAGTTGTTGGGTGGTTTTTTTTTTGTCCTTAAAGTGTCAGTCCTTGACAAAACGCACAAAACATATTTTAAAAATAACTTGGTAATCCGGCGTTAAATTGTGTTCCCCGTGTGATTTTGACTAATTTTAGGTCGCTGATTACGAAAATCTTTGGGACATTTTGGGAACGCATTTTCAACTCCATCTTGGGCAACATCAAAGAAGCCGCTCCCTTGTCGTCATGCCTTCAGTTCGCCGGCCGGCAAATATCTGGTCGCTGTACAAATGTACTGAGAAAACTTCAATATCGAGAGGGTTTCTCGTTTCCACGCTCAGTTTTACCCGGAAGTTGACAGGATCCCCGCCATTCTTTCGATATCCTACAGTTTGTCGATCAGTGCGTGTAAATGGGTCTTTATATGGGTGCCCACTACAGATGGGATCGGCCGATAGCCCGACATGGTCGCCTCAAAAACAAACATGTTTGTTTTCAGTTTCAGGTGACCGAGTCATGCGATCCGCCCGATCCAGCCGTATGGGCACCCCGTATTACATATCATAAAACTGTTCTGTGCTTTGTATTTGTATACATAGTATGTGAGGCGTGCTGACAAAATGAGTTACTTCTTGCATTCCACAAATGGAGATATTGGCCAAAATTCGACTCTAGGGTCAAATTTGTAGATTTTCTGTTGATGCCATATTTTTTAACATATAACTGCCTTCTATTATTTCACACTTATAGATTATAAAAGCTTCACCTATGAGCGTGATGTATCTATTTCCGTAGTTCGCTGTGTGTAGAACGCATTATTGCGGAAGACCGTCAAGTGGACTGGCATTCTTTTTCTTGGGGGCTCTCGTGGCCTAGAGGTGAAGGTGTTCGCCTCTCATTCAATATGTCGTGGGTTCGAATCCGGATAACGAACGGGAAACTTTCTTCTCTAAATTTTTTTTCTGCTTTCACATCCTTTCCTGCTCTCTAGCAATGTTCTGTCGTCTGCTTTCGTCTCA